AAAAACTGGCCTAGTTCTAGTAGTATACACACACAATAGTAAAAAGGGGAAATCGAGTCAACATATTTTGATACCTAAGTTATATGCAGTTGCATACACTACTTTATTTTTACTCATGGGAACAATTGAAATTAAACGAAGGATCTAGCAAGGAAATATTTCACAATGCTTTTCTGAAATCCCGAAAACAAGCAACACGATCGGCAGAAAATTCTATCGAAACCAATCTTCATCATCATCATCATCAGCCTATTAATGTCCCCACTGCTGGGGCACAGACCTTCCCTATGGATGGAATAGGGAGATTGGGCCATGACACACCACGCCGTCCCAGTGCGGATTCGTGGGTGCTAACGACTACAGATGCAGTCGGGACCAACGGCTTAACGTGCCTTCCGAAGCACGGAGGGGCTCAAGATAATAAATGTTTGGTCACCCATCCAATGACCGACCACTGCGAAAGTTGCTTAACTTCAACGATCGCAGGCGTACGCGCTAACCACTTGCGCCATCGAGCTCCTCAGTCTTCCCAAGAAACCAATCTTAACCCCTTTTAAATATGCCGAAGTTCAACCTTCGATGATTTACTGATCACACGGCTCCGTCCATTCCCTCGGGGAATACGAACGTGTATTCCTTGAGGAGCTCGATGGCGCAAGGGGTTAGCGCGTTCGGCTGCGATCGTTGAAGTTAAGCAACTTTCGCATTGGTCGGTCATTGGATGGGTGACCAAAAATATACTATCTCGAGCTCCTTCATGCTTTAGAAGGCACGTTAATCCGTTGGTCCCGGCTGCATCTGCAGTCATTAGCACCCACCAGTCCGCACTGGGCCCGCGTGGTGGTTCATGGCCCAAAACTCCGTATTCCATCCATAGGGAAGGCCTGTGTCCCAGCAGTGGGGACATTAATAGGCTAATGATGAGGATGATGATGATATATCTAACTAAGATACAAATTTTTACTGCCCTTATTTTTTAGTGAGAATATTACTAAGAAGGCCTGCTCAATAAATTACCACGCATAATTATTGTATAATTACCTATTTGGTTTCGTTTCCCCCCTAACTTTCATTTGGTTGAACCAAGCCAAACTGCGTTCGAAGACTATAATTACGAAGCTGATGCAGCTGATGGTGGTCGATTGAGCTTTCTTCCACTGAAGGTAGTCTGCGTCATTAGACATGAGCAAGATGCAATGACATAAATGTTTGTCACCGAGGGTGGCCGGTAGCCCGAGGGATAAGGTCTACACACGACACGCTATACCAGGTACAGGTACGTGCCAGGGCGTTTTTCCCTGCCCCCCACGACAACGGCTAACTAGAGCCGAGGTCCGAGTCTCAGAGACGCCCTCTAGTTGAGCCGACCCCCTCAGGTTCAAGTGGTCTAGAGGCTCCAGACTGAGAGGAGAATCCCCCCGTGGGAAGATGCCATCCGCCTGGAATACCTCTATAGGCACTCGCCAATTCTCGGCTTGAGGTCCCCTTAGGATCTCGCCGTCCCCAAACCCGGTGACGTTGTAAAGATCATCTGCGACCAAGAGCATTATACTACAAAAAATGGCCTCTAAGATGGAATCGGTATAACTCTGGAGACATTTTTATTATCATTGAATTTAGCTGCTGTTCATGAGAAATCTGACATTTGGGTAGCAGTTGCTTCGTCGGAATAATGGCCATTTTGATAGAAAGAAATTGTAGATAGATAGATAAAGGTGTTTCGGAGGCGGAAGGATTTTGCTGTCTAAAGATTTCCGCCAAACAGTGACAGTTATTCCAAGATCGACTACTGCCAATGAAATACGGGCTTGCCTCTATTAATCAATTTTTAGCGCCATGTAATATTTTTTTAGCTGGCAGTGAATATGAGTTACATTGCTGAACGAAAATCTACAGAAGATTCCTCCAAACAATTGCTAACTATGGCAAAAGCTGTGTTCCTGCCGAACGGAGAGCTTTATTTCCTTCCAAATTATTGCAAGCGGTACGAAGTACGCCGGATCAACTAGTTTATAATATAACCATCCATGTTTATTTATCAAACTATTATTTATTTTTTTACCATAACGTATTTTCCCCCAAACCGTACAGTTTAAGAGACACAGCTTACAGACGTATGTTACGTACAGCGGGACGGGTTTTTATTGTCAAAGTTTTCAAAATTGTCAATGAGTTAAAGCATGCACTGTTAGCGCTATACGGCCAGTGCCATATTAATAAAGAAAATTATGAGAAAAAAAAAATTTGTTTACTGTTTGCATATTTATCATGTCTTGGCATTTACTACGAATCCGCGGACCAAAGTTAAATAAAGCTATTCATGTAAGATTTTTTTTATTTTCAGCCAAATTATGAACTTTTACGTCATACATGATTTATTGATAATAGCAATATTTTTTTTATTTGCCAAAATATCTATACTTTCTCAACATACAGCCAATTCATCATTTCCACACACAATACATACAAAACGATGACATTTCAAACAGCGTAGACTAATTTAAAAGTTAACTTGTGTTCAACCTTGAACATGATTCCTTAATATTCAAATTAAAAGAGGTGTAAGTACATAGTATCTTTCATTAGTTGCCTCGTAAAATGAAACGAGAATAAGCTTTTGTAACTTGAAACTTTAAAGCGCACATTCTGGTTCTTTATGTTTCTACTAATAGAATTAGTCTGGGTCAATGTCATATTCTGATGACCGACAAAATCCTGTATCTATTTAAAAATAAAAAAAGATTTCAAAATCGAAAATGGAACAAAAAATTAAAAAAAAGACTATTTACTAGTCCATTTACAGTACTACTAGTAAGACTAGTTACATATAAATTTTATAGTTTCAAGTTTAAGATTTTTTTTTAATTTCCGATTTAAAATCGGTTTTATTTTATGTTTAAATAAAAAGATGATTGTTTACTAAGGGAGCAAGGAATTATTTTAAGGCAAGCGTTTTTTTTAAATCCAGAGCAGAGCGAAGGATACCGAGGGATTCAAAGTAAGGTAGACTATATATACCTTAAAATTGGCTCTTAAATCGGAATTCTTCGTTTGTTTGTCTATAGTAAATTAATTATGCGATTGTCCTTTAATCTTAAGCACATCTAATATTAAATATCTGGGTATTATAATTGAAAACACATTGTCTTTTAGGCAGTCCGCATAATTTTAATTTTATTCTTTTTACCTAAATATGAGATAATTAGGAATATATTAAGAGAACTACATAGTCATATCTTATTTTTAAAACTACATAAACTTATTTCAGTACTTTTTTCTTCACATTTATGAAGAAAAAGTACAGGCGCTTAAGTAATCAATGAGATCAAAAAAAACCAAATTTAGTGAGGTAATCGAAGTTTTGAAAAGAAGATACTAACACGTGTTATTCATTATGAAGACCTCCGTGGCCGAGTGGTTTGTACGCCCCGGGTTCATGGTGTCACCGACTCGAGAGGTCCCGGGTTCGAATCCCGGTGGGGGCAGATGTTTGTGTGATGAATATTAGCGATGAGTTTATTGTGTGATGAGTACAAATTACTCCAGTCATGGATGTTTAATATGTATTTCTATATAAATTTGCATTTAAATGTACAATATATGTATTCTATCCGTTACCCTAGTATCCCATAACACAAGCCTTACAGTACTTACTGTGAGGCTAGGCTAATTGGTGTGAGTTTTGGAAATATTTACCTATATATATTTATTTATTTATGTCATGAAAGTCAGTTCTGACATTGGTCATTGTGATATAAAACTCACTCAGTCACTCAGCCTAGATGACGTCTCTCCATACCCTAGCTTACGTCCTAGGGCGGATCCGGGGGGGGGGGGGGGTCATGGGGGTCATGATCCTCCCCTGGGCTGGGTACAGATGGACCAAACCCAGGGGTATTTTATTTAAGTACTTTCAATATTTAATATACCACGACTAATAGGGGTGATGACGGGGTACAGTAAACGGAATTCTATTTAGTCCGTCAGTTAGATTATCAAAAAATAATGGAATGTATTTTTTCTTTGGGCAATCAACCAAAAAATGACAAAGTTAAAACGCGTCAAAGTTTGGGAGTAGGGGGTCGTGACGTCACTCTTGAGTGAATTTTCACTTATAAGTGTACTCAAACGTGACGTCATGCGACTTTTCAAATCAATATATCTCTGCAATGTTTATATTATGTGAAAAAAGAAAAAATACAAGTCCAATACTTTTTGATAATCTACCTGATAAAAGAAGAAAAAAAAATTAGTCATCATCCCTATTGATATGATCAAAAAATAATGGACACGTATTTTTTCTTTGGGCAATCAACCAAAAAATGACAAAGTTATAGCGCGTCAAAGTTTGGGAGTAGGTGCTCGTGACGTCACTTTTGAGTGAATTTTCACTTATAAGTGTACTCAAACGTAACGTCATGCGACTTTTCAAATCAATATATCTCTGCAATGTTTATATGTGAAAAAAGAAAAAATACGAGTCCAATACTTTTTGATAATCTACCTGATAAACGAAGAAAAAAAAATTAGTCATCAGGAAGGTACGTTAAGCTGTCGGTCCCGGCTGCATCTGCAGTCGTTAGCACCCAACAATCCGCACTGGGCCCTATTCCATCCATAGGGAAGGCATGTGTATGATAAATCATTACAATAACAGTCAACTTATTGTAGTGCATTTCATAAAGACATATTATGGGAGATCCTTCGACAATTTTCACATCTGAACACTTCATTGGTTTGATTGGTAGTTAAAAAAATCGTCTTATTTTTCAACAAAAGTTATTTGAGTCACAACATTTATAACAGCGAATACAATTTAAATCATTTACAAGGATCGATATGCACCCTATTTGTTTCATCGTCATTTGGGATTGGTAGCGAGAACTCATTCATATATTCAGCGATTTCAAATTCAAATTTAAAAAAAGGTTCGGGAGAAAAAAGTTTGTACGTAGGTGGCGGTAACATGGCGGGTTCTGAAGAGCCGTATGCTGTATGAAGACTTTCCGATAAAAAGTTTGAATCCATCGCGAATATAGCAGTGCGTGGTTGACTGAGTCGGGTCACAGATGTCCGTTTGTCATTCACCGAGATTTGGCGCGAAAATTTTGACAGTTCAGGTGAGCGAGTGTATTTTTAATTAGTTCGCATGCTAGCTCATTGATTTAGTTTAAATTTTAATTTGGAGTAGGAATTTTGTTTTTGGTGACCTTTGTTTGACACTAAACTTCAGGTGAACGAGAGCATTTTTTTAAAGTTCACATGTACTCAATTGTCTTATTATAATTTTGACGACAGCCGTGGCTGAGTGGTTTTCAAGGTGTCGCCTACTCAAGAGGTCCCGGGTTCAAATCCCGGTAGGGGCAGATGTTTGTGTGATGAATACGAGCATTTGTACTCCAGTCATGGATGTTTAATATGTATTTCTATATAAATATACTTATATCAGTATAATAATATATATTCTGTCAAGATTCTGTCCGTTACCCTAGTACTAATAACACAAGCCTACAGTGCTTACTTTGGGGTTAGGCTAATAGGTGTGTGTTTATAAAAAAAAATAAGAATTTTTGTTTTTAATGGCCCTTGACTTACACTTCAGGTGAGCAAAAGCATTTTTAAAAAGTTCGCATATACTCATTACTATAATCTAAATTAAAATTGTATTACCTAATAATATTTTGATTTAATGACCTTTGACACTTCAATCGACCTAGGATTAGGGAAAGCATTTTTAAAAGTTCGCATGTACTGATTAACTACCTATATTCATTTTTTTTTCAATTTTGCGTGCAACAAGGATGATTGTGGCCAAAATTGGAACTATCGCCGCCATCTTGGTTAAACGTCATATTTTGTATCGTCACATACAATGCTTATATCTGTGGACCTGCGGGACAAAGTTTTGGTACTAAGATGCGCTAAAATTTGCGTTTAGCGTTCGAATTTTGAATTTAGTACGGCTCCTTCAGCTGTACCCCTAGCACGAACCAGTACCGAATTCGAATATTTTGCAAAACCGAAGGAGGAGCTCGATGGCGCAAGTGGTTAGCGCGTTCGGCTGCGAACGTTGAAGTTAAGCAACTTTCGCAGTGGTCGGTCATTGGATGGGTGACCAAAACTTACTATCTCGAGCTCCTCCGTGCTTCGGAAGGCACGTTAAGCCGTTGGTCCCGGCTGCATCTACATTCGTTAGCACCCACCAATCCGCACTGGGCCCGCGTGGTGGGTCATGGCCCAATCTCCCTATTCCATCCATGGGGAAGGCCTGTGCCCCAGCAGTGGGGACATTAATAGGCTGATGATGATGATGATGATGATGATGCAAAACCGAAATGTCAATGTCAAATTTTGTATGAAAACTTGAACAGCAGCAGCACAAAGTACGTAACGAGAACTAAAAATCAGTACACATTATGACAATGACATTTCGGTTTGCAAACTATTCGAATTCGATAATGGTTCGTGCTAGGGGTACTGCACACACAAATTTATCGTTTTCCACAACTTCTTTTAACGTGACCAATTCTCGCCAGTCAAGCTATCATCTAGCATCAATCGATGGCGTAGCTTTTCGACATTCACAAGTGCTTGTAACAGCCTAGACTGAATAAACGATATTGTTTTTCTTTTTTTTTTGAAAAGGCTAAAATTAAATTATGTGATTTATTTATTTATTATTTAATATTTTTTGGCTTTACACTGCAAATGGCGGACTTAATGCCAATATGGCATTCTGTACCAGTCAACAGGAAAGAATATACAGATCTAAAAAAGCGGCAGAATCAAAGAAAAGAGATTAAAATCAAACAATGAACAAATATACTAACACTTAGCTATACATACGACCATATTTAAATAATTTTTATATAAATATACACACATACATATAACACATATACTTCGTACCACTTCTCATACATAATGTACTAAAAACAAATATCCCGAAAAACGCATCCGATATTTTTTTTATGGCCATATTTTTGGTGACCTATGACACTAAACTTCGGGTGAGCGAGTGCATTTTTAAAAAGCTAGCATTTAAGTACTTAATAGGTACCTCTACATTAAAATTTTATTATGAGAACTTTAAGTTCGATAAGTTCTTGACCTTTTCATTGGATGCAATTTCTTTAACGTATCTATTGGCCAAAATTCATCATAATTTATTATGAATTTGAACCACTTTGAAGAAAGATACTTATATAATAAGCATAGTGTGTGTGTGTGTGTGTGTCAAAGGCATAGTTGTTTAGTATGTTGTTTATATTATAAATAAAACATTAAAGGCGTTGAGATTTTAATACAAAAATATCACACAAAGGACAATGGGCAAAACGCACCCAGCTCTGCCAACAATGTAATTAGTATGAATCGATAGATCTATGAAAAACTAGCCTTTACTATTATGACACCGTAAAAAAATATCCTGGCAGTCAAAAGATATGACAAATGGGCATATTAAATATGCCCATGTAAAGTGAATTCACTTAAAATTTAAGTAGCTAAATAAAGTCACTTTATAGTGCCTTCATTTTATATTATTAGTAACCATAATAATATGCCATATCATACTATACAACCAGATATAGATGATAAAGTCTGCCGACCATCCTGCGCTTGCACTTACTGAACTACCTCAAAACGGTTTACGGGGGTTGAAGGACTTGCAGTTGCAAATTGGCGACTCGTCTTACTTCATTGTGATTGTGCGCTCCCGGTGACTTGATTGATTTTTATCTAACATGCTTTGGACATTGGAACACGATTATCGGTTTTGTCAATCCCCTTGCACCTTGTGGAATACTCCCATGATACCTGAGCCCTCTATGTAGTCGAACTAACTAAATTAATTCCCTTATTTTATTAATGTTCGTTCGTTATAGGTATTTATTAACTTGTACTTATTTAACCGAAAATAACTAAAGACCCCCGGGATAAAATTGGATGCGCTTTGTCACATATGATCATGACTATAATACCTTTCAAACAAATGTAGTTTAAGCAGTGGCGGACGTGGGTACAGCGTCCATACATTTTTGCCCAATGTCCTTTCCAAATATTTTGTTGGCTTTTGGTGGAGTTTTCAAAAATACTTACATGCGAACCGTGCCCTGATGAACATTGAATATGAAATAAATATGAATTGCAAAGAAAGAATTTTCAATTTGGGGCAGCCTTTCGAAAGTTGTGTGCGTAAATACACATACAGTGGAGCTCCGGTAATCCGGCCCCTGGCTAATGCGGCACCCCCTATAATCCGACATCGTCTATTACATACAAGTATTCGCTAATTCACGATTGATCAAGTTACAACTTGTACGCACCATCAATATTTATTATTATTACTTTTATAATAAAACGTAATCTTTCTATTGTGTTGTTTAATTTATTAAATTTGACATACATAACGAAGTATGATTTGTAATCTTATCATTGGATCTGTAATTTGTTGGATTACAAGGTACTCTTTTGTAAAATAAAATCGGACTATATGGGTTTAGGCAGTAGGTACTCTATAATCCGACAAATTCGATAGTTCGACACTGCCCTGCAAAATGTTTGTCGCACTACCGGGGATCCACTGTACATTTCAGCCATAGGCTATTTGACAGTATCAAAAATAAAGTGCCAATCTTTGGCACTTGTATTTAGAATGAATATTGTCAGCAATAATTAATATTTTAAACCGACTTTAAAACGGAGGAGGTTCTGAATTCGTCGTTATATATTTTTTAATGTAGTTTGCGCATATCTACGAGATGAGTGGACCTTAGATTAAAACCGTTTTAATCTAAGGCCTGGACCGATCTTGATGATTCTTTTTTTGTTTGCATCAGTTTTTGGCGAGATTCAAGGACTTTTGTTCTACATGGACATTAGTTCCTCGTCTGGGCAAGACATAAAGCAACGCCGACGCGACTAGGCGCGCAGTAGTTCCTGGCAGCACTTAATATTGAGAAAACCAGCAGCTTATAAGGAGGAAATGCCTAATAATAATCCCTATTTTGTTCCAGGTCTCCATGTTCGAGCGCTAATAAGCCAAAATGGCGGGCTGTGAAAACAAAATGGCGGCCGACGCCATCTCGAACCAACTGCCATGTTCAAATCACCGCGTCGACCATACCAAAACTCAATTAACGCGCGAATTTATATTCTCCTATGCGAAGATACTCTTCAATATTGTGATTTCTGTTTTAGAGCTCTTGTACAATAATAGAATGTTAATTTTATTGTCTGTGATAGTAGTTTTAGTTGTGTATATGTTGTATAAGTGTTATTGGAGCCCGATACTGTATACTAAGGTAAGCTATTTTGTGTATATCACATAACACAGAAAGAGGTTAGAATGGCCTTGTGGGCGGCAAGCGCGTCACAGTCATATGTGAGCAAATGCTCATAACTTGACCAAAACTTTTGGTTTTGATTGCGTCATTGCTCCCGGATGTGAGCGCTGATTGGTTCGATTGTTTAATGCCGCGTCGTTTGATTGGCTATTATCTATTAGATGGAAGTGTAGTGGGAGCGAACCGGCGACATCAGCTCCCGTACAAAAAGTCTATGAGCACCGTTCTAACCTCCTGTGTTCTGTGGTGTATACCCTGCTTTATCCTATGTGAAAGTTTGCATGTTTTTGTGTTTGTAAAACGTCTGAACGGATTTGGATGAACATTCACACAGACAGCATATAACCGTGAAAGAGACATGAGATACTTTTTATATCGGAATAGTGTTAGGTTCCTGAGGGATTTTTAAAAAACTAAAGTTAATGCGGACGTCGTAGTAGTCTAGTCGTCTCTCTTTTTCTTTAACTAACTATAGATAGTAGGTTGAGTTACGGAATGAGATCATAATTGGAGTCCCACATACCTTATTCTCGCTCCTTCGGTTGGGGGCCGTTCATAAAATACGTCACGCTAAAATCAGCTATTTCCGACCCCCGACCCCCCTATTGTCACGCTGTGTCACACTTTCCGTGACCCCTCTTGAAATATTCCGTCACAAAAACCCCCCCTCCCCAAGTATGATTAATTTCAATTGATAGTACACAAATTTTAAGAATTTAAATATTTATATAGCTTTTATAATAAAATTTAAATATATAAATATGCGCTAATGTCGAAAAATAAACATGAGTAAATATATCAAGTTACAATTTATTGTATAATAAAACTATATACGTTTGAATACCCCTTGGAGGATGCCTAAGGCATTTCCCAGACAAAAAAAAAGGATAAACTCAGGAATGTATTTACACAGGGCCATGTGGGCCATGGCACGGGCCAAAAGGCTGCAAGAGCTGCAAATGGCGGCAGAAGCCATATAAAGGCTTCGTTACTGACCTTTATTTTTATTTAATGTAATTAAATAGTTCAAGGGGGGAAGGGCTGTTGCAAACAGTAAGTGGCTCGTGGCGCCAGATTTCAAAATACATGCCGTCACTGTATACTGCTGTCAAATTTAGTCTTGCCTTAATGGAATCATGCCAGTTTTAGCCATGGAGCTGAGCAAATACAAGGAGGAGCTAATAATGTATTCAATGTAGCACCTTTCTTCCAATATCGCACTGACGTCACTTGTTAATGATTTAAATCACTTCGCATTCCCTTATTAATAGGTTAAACCTATGCCCCCTTATGAATGTCTCTGAATGTCGGCCTCATAACAAAACTCAAAGTCGCTCAGCGTGCTATGGAGAGGGCTATGCTCGGTGTTTCCCTACGTGATAAGATCCGAAATACGGAGATCCGTAGAAGGGCCGGTGTGTACGACATAGCCCGAAAAGTTAGCACGCTGAAGTGGCAATGGGCAGGCCACATCGCTCGAGGATCTGACAACCGTTGGGTAAGAAAGGTCCTCGAGTGGCGACCACGTACCGGGCGACGCAGCGTGGGGCGGCTTCCAACAAGGTGGACTGACGACATCATCAAATGTGCTGGGAGCCGCTGGATGCGGATAGCGCAGGACCGCGCATTGTGGCGTTCTATGGGGGAGGCCTATGTCCTGCAGTGGACGGAAAAAGGCTGATGGATGATGCCCCCTTATTAATAAACAAGGAATAAGGTTAGACTAGTTACGCCGTGTTTTGTTCAAGTCACTGAAATGCCATTTGTCATTCAACAAACAGAGATAAAACATAGATTAGCTAATCCAAACTTATTCTGCGTTTATGAAAAAGGGGGATGATGTTTTATAGTTATAGATACGTCATACACGCTTCTAATTTGACAATACGAAAGTCAGGTAATTGCCCGACTTGCATTCAGTCGGGCACGCTCTCTCGCCGCCGCTACACTTCGCTACAACGTGTAAATATTTTACGTTTTTCCAGACAAAAAGCCCTAAGTGTGTTTTAAAATAGTACACAAATTACACGGAAGACCTATTAGAGACAAAGAAAACGTGTCATTGGGTTAAACCAATGATATTACATATTTAACAGACTTGCAATACCAGGGATAGAATTTCAGGTACATTTCTTACTTCTCTCAGACAGAAGTAATGTAAGCTCAGTTTATACGAATCGGGGAACTAGAAAAAAAATGTGAGCCGTCACGGGACGGCTGGACGTGAAACTTTAGCCGGTTAACGATAAATACACTCGGAGAATTGCTCGGGATGCGTGCGGTAAAAAATGAAATAGATCCTTCCTGGAAGGGCGCTGGCGCCGTACTGATCGGCAGTGTTGCCAGATCCGATTTTCAAAAATCGGGAGGCGTTATGGGGAAAAAACAGATGCAAAGGCATACTTTTTCCGATTTGCACAAGATAAAGACCAGTAACGAATGTGTTTCTGTGGCTTCTGTGCCCCTCAAAGCTATTTTTTTAGACAATAACATTTATTTTATAATTATTAAGGTTATCTAACATTATTAATAACGGAAAATGCAACTCAACATGCAATTTAAAAAAAGAAAATCGTATTCTAAAAAAACAGGAGATTCATGTAGAAAAACAGTAGAACAGGAGAAATTTCAGAAAAACAGGAGATCTCCTGTAAAATCTGGAGACCTGGCAACATTGCTGATCGGCGAGTAGTTGAGCACTGGTATATATTGCATTTTACGGGCGAGCGAGCGTCGCCACGCCATAAATCGGTTTTACGTGCGCCAAAAGATGTTTCACATCAAAATAAATTTATTTCTTAAATAGTTTGTATTAACGAAGAAAGATGTCATCCATGAGATAGGTAGGCAACGAAAGATCACATCACATACGATTGGAGAACCTGCCCACGTCTCCTCGTGCAATCTCTCATCTTTTGATTTACCTGAATATCATATACATAGTAAGGTAGGCAAATTACTCTACCCTACCTAATGTTAAGTGGTGATAAAGCCCAGACGCGAAGATAGCTGGTACAGCAGTTATAAACTGCCATAGCAACAATCCTCATCTTGCCGGCCTGCAGAAATGCTTCTTCATGCCTCTCGTAAAGGACCCCAGATTGTAGGAAGGAAGAATGCCACTTGCGAATAGTACAACAAAACAATGAGTCACCAAATTTCTTATGTTTTCAGGAACTGACAGACATTGGTTACGACCACATATTACCCGGTCCTGACAGGCAGGCTCGGATAACCAGGGCCCAGCAGGCCAGAAGACTGGGCAATAAAATACCACCTCCTTACCCTAACGGCTGGTTCGCTGTAGCTGAAAGCGACGAACTCAAGATTGGAGGCGTTTTAGCTGTGGATGTTCTGGGTAAGAAAAATACGACAACAAGCACATCAAAAAAGTCTCAGCGAAAGGTTTTCAGCTTTAGAACGATTTTTACTTTTGTAATTATTTATAATAGACCATTAAAAAACGCAATCAAAAGTTTCTATTTTTAAAATCAGGCAATTATCTTTCCAAACACACAAAAAAAGCGTTTGCGTCTTGGGACGCATGACAGAAGTGATAATCTAAACTATTATTTTTTGAGCGCAGGAGATTGTTAGGTGAAAAGGGGATTGGAGGTGAAAAGGGGTTGGAGGATTAAAAGGGGATTGGGAGGTGTAAAGGGGATTCGAGGGTGAAAAGGGAGTAGAGGGTGATAATACGGGATTGGTGGATGATAGAGCGGATTGATTTGTGATAATAGGGGATTGGTGGGTGATAATGGGGATTGATGGGTGAAGGAGTGGGGTGTGGGTCAGGGGGCTCCCCTCTGGTACCTGGGTGGGCTGTGGCGTCTATCTCCAGCCAGCTAGAGACGCCAGACAGACTGGCTCCGTAACGCGTTGCGTAACGAAGCGGTTTACCCTCCCTACTTTACTAAGAAAACTGAAGCTTTAACTTAAGCAACAATTAATAAAATATACAGTTTTTGAAAGTGATACGAGTTGTTTACACTTTTTTGATGTATGTACTTAACAATCCCAATATAATAATAGAGAAAGAATAAATATGTATTTTAAATTGGTCAAAAGTTCAAATAATTTCGTGTTGCTTAAACTCTTTTGGTCAGTATATGAGAATGCGCAAAACAGCCACTTAGAAGAAACATCATTCTTGTGACATTGGAAAGGTATGAAGCACAGATGTTTCATCTGGTTTTATCCATAATCGCCATTTTTCACCCTTAGAGCCTAAAGGTCATCAGACCGACCCGGCACCCGACCAGAACTGCCTCAACTCGTGCGGTTCATATTCTTTTTATTTTTATGGATTTCTATAGGGATGCTCTCTCTACACAAACTCCATACCGTCTCTGTCTCGTCTCGTCGCGCAAACTGTCCGCACCTGTTTTTTGAGTGTGTATGCTGTTTTTCGCATATGACCTTTATAGCGTCACCGGGTTTGAGGACGGCGAGATCCTAAGGCGACCTCAAGCCGAGAGAGATTGGCGAGTGCTTCTAAAGGTATTCCAGGTGGATGGCATCTCCCCACGGAGGGAGTCTCCTCTCCGTCTGGGACCTCTAGACTACTCGAACCTGAGGGGTCGGCTCAACTAGAGGGCGTCTCGGACCTGGGCTCTAGTTAGCAAGTGTCGTAAGGAGCGAGGAAAACGCCCAGGTACGTACCTGTACCTGGTATAGCGTGTCAAGTATAGACCGGGTCTTCGAACTCTTATCCTACGGGTGCGGTGTCTGTCTAATGCTATGCTAGTGTGCAAGTATGCTAGCTGTGTAATGTTGGTATTTGTGGCCTGTGTGGGAGGAGTCGGAGGCGCGTTGGCGCGGACACCCGCTGCTCGCACGCGTGTCGTACCTATGCCCTCCGTCTCGCTCGCTCGTGTGGCGTTCACCCATAGCCCACATAACATGTATAGATACTGCTATGTCTCGAACGTTAGAGTTCTCATACATTTGGCAACCCTGCGCGGCTCTGCCTCACCCGCGACAAGACAGATCGTCGGACAGCACATTAACAGCGCGGCATGAAGCTCTAAAGCTGAGCGTCATTGCGCTAAAAATTAAGACGTCTTGGGGGGAAACAGAGGTGCGCGGGCGGGCGTGCGTTGCGCCGATTGGCTCTCCAGTCGTACCCATGCGCAGCTATCCCCTCCGCGTTTTGTTCAGCGCTAGAGTTACGTGTAGGGATGAAACGATACCATGTAGGTATCGATTCTTTTACCCGATACTGTATCATTCATAAAGTATCGATGCCTACTCGGTATCGAATGAAAAGTATCGATACTTACTTGTATCGATAAATTTTGATGAACGATATTACAATTACAAATTCAGTCACAGTTTTAATTTAACGAAAACAAAATAACACCACGCTACGCGATGATCGAATGACTGACTGAATAGATTGGAATAAATTTAAATCATACGAAAGGCTGCTAACTGAGCAGTAGAAAAGATGCGTTCGCGAATCAATATAACAATATCCATAGAGTAAATAATCTGCCTACGAGTTATTTTGATACTTGTCAGTGAGTGACCGACCGAGTTCCGATACAAGTACTTACTTCACGATACTACTTGTTGGCACGATATCGATGCCAAAAGTACTTGGTATCGAAAGAAAAGTATCGAGTAGTTACTTGTATTTACTCGTATCGTTTCATCCCTAGTTACGTGCAGCGAGTAGTAAACAAGTGGACAGCGCTCGCCGAGGCGGTACTGATCAGGTGCTGGATGGGTCTAGTGCGCTTATGACGTTAAAGCTTCGTATGTTATCGCTATAATAAAACCGACGAATACCTCATCAGGTCAAAACCTCTGCGTCTACAGAGGAGAGGACGGCGTAGCTCGGTGTGTGGACACGTATTGCCCACACTTGGGCGCTAACTTGGCCGTTGGGGGGGCGGTCAGAGGGAACTGCATAGAGTGTCCGTTCCACAAGTGGAAGTTTGCTGAAGACGGCGCTTGTGTTAGCGTGCCAGGCGTAGAACAAGGTAAGGGACCATTTCGTCTTTATTACGTACAAGCGGCAGCCAGCGACTTTTTTCAGAAATCTATCATTTTTAAAAACTATATGTGTACGATAATTTAACCATCCGCTCAGTAGTATTTCCATACTTTCACATTTATGGTCTTAGAGTAGAATAAGTTGGTACAACTTCGTCTGAGTAGTTTAAATAGTTAATTATGCAATGAAACACTTTTTGAATGTGTATATTCAAGTGCGTGATTTAACTACTTTTTTTTAATCTAAATAAAATTTGACTAGGAAAAAGTCCACGCGGATCAGGCAGCAGACGGGACTCGTACCCGCACCCTCTTCTATCCGGGCGGCGCATTGACCATTATGCTACCGCGGCCCTAATTTTCTGTGTCGAATTTTCTCAAGTACTTCTTAGGCTGCAAGGCAGCGCCATCTCTTCGCATTATAGTGAACCCACAATGTCAAATGAATACCTTTACAAGTATTAAACTTTTTAAAGAAATAGCAAATTATTTTTTATACTTTCTAGTATAATTTTCTTTTGATTTAAATATCTGGCTTAAACTTTTTTTTATTCAATAGTTTGGCTTCCAATTAAAAAAAATATCCAACTTTTAATTTCCTTTTTACTTAAATTTTAAATAAATTCAATTTGAACGACCTCCGCAGCCGAGTGGTTTATACGCCGGGTTTCATGGTGTCGCCGACTCGAGAGGTCCCGTGTTCGAATCCCGGTGGGGGCAGATGTTTGTGTGATGAATACGAGCATTTGTACTCCAGTCATGGATGTTTAACACGTATTTATATAAATATACTTATATATGTACAATGTATGTATTCTATCCGTTACCCTAGTATCCCGTAACACAAGCCTTACAGTGCTTACTTTGGTGCTATGCTAATTAATGTGCTAAAAAAAACACAAAGAATCTATTTCATCAAAGTTTTTAGTTGGCTATATAGATTTGGAGTTCTCTGAGAAGGTTGATGGCGCAGAGAGTAAGTCTGTTCCGTCTATAATGGTAGAAATTAAACAACTTTCGCAATGTAAAAATAATAATTTTTCCTCCATGCTTCGGAAGGCACATCAAGCCATCAGCCCCGGCCGCATCTGCAGTCATTAGCACCCAGTAATCCGAGTTGAGGAGCTCGATGACGCAGGTGGTTAGGGTTAAGGTAAGCATCTTTCGCAGTGGTCGGTTATTAGATGGCTGACCAAAAAATTATTATCTCGAGCTCCTCCATGCTTCAGGAGATACGTCAAGCCATCAGTCCCGGCTGCGTCTGCAATCGTAAGGTCTCTCCAAACAGCTCTGTGCCCGCACGGAGGGTCCGGCCCACTCTGCTTTCCGTATTCCACCATTACGCAAGGCCTTTGCCCCAATAGTCATCATCATCAACCTATTAATGTCCCCAAACATGTGTCTGCCGGGGCACAGGGCTTCCCTGTGGATGGAATAGGGAGATTGGGCCATGACCAACCACGCGAGCCCAGTGCGGATTGGTGGGTGCTAACAACTGCAGATGCAGCTGGGACCAATGGTTAAACGTTTTCTGAAACACGGAGGAGCTCGAGGTGATAAATTGTTGGTCACCCATCCAATGACCGACCACTGCGTAAGTTGCTTTACTACACACACACACACACACGCTAACCACTTGCGCCATCGAGCTCCACCAGCCCCAGTAGTGGAGATATGATTTCTAATTTATAACTGTTCTAACTACCGTATTCTTTCTACCAGCTCCTCGTGGTGTCTCCATCAAAACCTGGTCAGTATCTGAAGCGGATGGCGCCGTATGGATCTGGCACGACGCGGAGAGTGGTGCCCCACGCTGGGGGTTGTCGGCCTGCCCCGAAGCCACGGCGTGGGGCTACAGGGGAAGGAATGAGTTCATAGTCAACGCGCATATACAGGTAGGGAGAGTGGACAGAATAGAAATGGAGGTAGAACTCTTTAAGAGACAAAAAACAACCAATACGTACGTACAATAAGCCGCCATATCGCTTTTGCTTTTTCAACTTTAAATCGTTGTAGATCCTAAACAGTCATATAAAATGAAAAATGGTGTAGGGAGCCTAAACATGATTTTGGATTATCTAGACAATGATACCCCACTTAACATATTTTATTTCGTCAAATTATTTTTTTTAATCGTCACAATATGGCTCCCAATTGTCCCCATATTGAAGCTCGATTACTATTATATCTTTAGTAGCACTCCCATGATTAAGAGGAATAGATTGATGTACATATAAATCATCAAAATCGGTCCACGCGTTTGGACCCTAGTGTGCCACAAAGGAACATACATACATATATAGACTGTTAAACACTATATAATGCGATTCAAATAAGAATAGGAAAGCCAATGACCTCTATCTGTCAATAAATGTCGCTTGAAAAGTACGGTTTGCAAAATAAACTTGGAACCCTTTTTTAGCACTCCGCTAATTCAAGAACAAAAACCAAACATAAATAAACAAACAGTAACAAATATTGATAATTAATATTGGTTGATATTCTTTTTCACTTAATGAGCTTTGGCCATGAATGGTTGTTAATCTAAATCGTCAACCAAATGTCACTTTAAGTTGCGTTCAAAAAGTCGATTTTAAAATTTCGTTTACATAAAGGATGCATGTTCGTATGTTACCTATTAATAGTGCATGATTATTCATAACTACTCCGGCGGTAATGCAGAGATGAGCGGAATAGAAGAGCTAGATTCTGATTAATGTTTTTTCTCACAGTCTTAATAAATAAATATTAATAAAAATCGGTGTTGTTTTTTCACAATCTTAGTAAATAAATGTTATCAAAAAAAATTGATGCTTTTTCTCACTTAAACTTAGTAAATAAGTCTTAATAAATAAAAACTTTTTTTTGGTCACTCTTCCTATTTGGTTTAAATTGACAACTATTACATCGCAATATGGCGCCCAGTCGGTCCTATTCTTAGTTGAAGCGCATTATACCCTGTCTGCGCGTCGCGCTTCGCGCTGTTGCAAATCGCAGTCGGATAAAAAACAATTGGTTGTCGCTAAACTCGGTTTACAGACAGTTAAACGTAATAACGTCCTAGAGAAACTAATTTATAATAAAGAAATTTTGCATAATGGCTAGCTCTGACGTCACGCGAGAAGAGAGATAAATGTATACAAACCGACGCTTAGGCCGATTGTACCTCTCTATCGCTTGCTCCGCGCTCTCGCTTGCACGCTCGGGCTCAGGCAGAACGTGACACTTTTTCGTGCGTGCAGCTGGTTAAAATCGATTTATTAGACGTTATCACGCCAAAAATTTAAGACACTTGATTCTGTTTACTTTTCTAACCAAATAAACTTTTGCTCCAGGAAATACCAGAGAATGGTGCTGACGTGGCACATTTGAATGCGGTGCACTCGCTGTCCCTGATATCGGCTCTGGGGGACAAGTATCCCGTATTACTCAACATTATAGGTGAGTTTCTTTTGTCCTTCTCCCTGTAAATTTTTAATAAGAAAAATCTCAGCCTTGTCAATGAGACAGGTGCTTAAAAAAAATGTGTGCACGGAACACACATTTGTAGTGAAACTTCTTTTCTTAAATAACCTAACACACTAAACGGTGTATAAGGCATAGCGAAATGGAGCAGCGCACGCTTCACTCATATATATATATATATATATGTATTTAAATATATATATATTGTCGCGTGTGACGCTCGTAGCGTTTCAGCCTTCGCCGAGTTACCCTCCAAAATTCATACTCATCGAAAAGCTGCGCACGCTTATATATATGTATTCTGTTTTTATTTTTTGGAATATAATATTTGCCACGTAATAAAACTTGGCAAATTCAAATGATGCCGTATGATAATTTGACCAAGTGAATATAATTCTAAATATAAATTTTCTAAAGATTTACTTGAGAAATGAAACAGAATGAATGAGACATGAGAAGTGTAATTTAACGAGAAATATTTTCCTCAAGAGAAGGGCATTACACCAGATAAAACATTTAATAGTTTTTATCTTCTTAAGCATTAAATTGCTAGATGTTTAAATTTAAAGAAAAATTCCGTCAGCTGCCTGGAACGCGTCGATTTTATGTATTAAATTTTTCTTTAGATTTAAATATAATAATTTATCAATATTGATTTACCTTTGCCCCAGGTACCCACGTGTGGTCTGCAGATTGGAAAAAAAGAGAAGATCACACAGCAAGCTTAACGTTAACACATGACTACAAGATAATGACACACGATCTCTTCCACATCGACGCCAAAGTGACGCAGGTAAGAATCATTTATCTATCTATCTATATATATATATATATATATATATATATAAATGAAACCCGTTTTCCATTGTCACGACATAAAATGACGACGGCTTGACCGATTTGGCTGATTTGTTTTTTGTAGTTTTCTAATACTCTGTACAAGGTTCTTACGGAAAAAAATATAAAGAAAATCTCTCAGAAAGATTGAAAAATATTACGTAACGAATGTCAACGTCATTCAATTTAAAACAAAAAATCTGTGGTAATATGTGACACCACATCGATAACCGCGCTGACAAAATACATAAGATAGGTCAGCTATACAAAATAAAGTAGTGCATCAAAGCTACGCTAAGGCGGTACGAAGTTCGCGGGGTCAGCTAGTGAATAATAAAACTTGGACTAGTTATACAGTTAATTGGGCCATTAATACATTTTAAGAGAGTAATATTATTTATTGGGCCAGCAATAATTTTTAATGTGTTAGTCATATAGATATAATTCTTATTGAAATAATGACAATAAGAAATTCCTGACAACTGCACTTAATCCCAAACAAGCTTTTGCTTTACAGATGTCATTAAAGTCCTACAATTTTAGCAGTAGGGAAATGTGTTTTTTTTGTATCTATAAAATCGCAATCCTACTATATCAAACTCACTCTCCGATTTTCTTTTCTTTTTAGCAGGTTTATTAACTTGAAACAGATTACTGATTTAAATTTATTTCCCAGTATGGACCGGGCCACGTTCGTTTACTGCTGTCAACAAGTTTTGGTCCACTGCTGGTATCTCAGTCGGTCACACCTATTGGGCCACTGTTACAAAAAGTGGTCCACAGAATATACTCGCCATGGTATAATGCACTGCTTGGTGCTATCATGGTGAAGACTGAAGCTTATATGGTGAGAATATAAATAAATAATTTACTATACTGTTTTAAACTTTCATGGTCACCAACATTATAGCTATTAACGGAATTGTTATCATGTTCCTTGTTTTTAACGAATCTCCGATATTTCGACACTGTTGCAAGCGCCATGATCACGGAATAACTCAATGTATCGGAGCGCCATGTTCACGGAGTAACTCAGTGTATCGGAGCGCCATGATCACGGAATAACTCAGTGTATCGGAGCGCCATGATCACGGAGTAACTCAGTGTATCGGAGCGCCATGATCACGGAGTAACTCAGTGTATCGGAGCGCCATGATCACGGAGTAACTCAGTGTATCGGAGCGCCATGATCACGGAGTAACTAAAGTAAGAGTAGCGAAAGTTGCTTTACTTCAACGACTGCAGCCGAACGCGCTAGCCATCTGCGCCGTCGAACTCCTCAAAAAGTATACCTATATTTTATCAGAAAAAATTCCACGCGGACCAGGCAGCAGACGGGACTCAAAACCGCACCCTTCGCTATCCGGGCGAATGCACTAACCATTGTGCTACCGCGGCCCTGACGGCCGTGTCGAATTCTCTCTAGCCTTAGGCTGCAAGACAGCGCTGGGTAGGGTTCGAATCCCGTCTGCTGCCTGATCCGCATGGAATTGTTTTCTAGCAAAACTTTTCTTTAGATTTAAACATCTATCAGTTAAATGCTTAAAAAAATTAAACATAACTATAATTGCTATTTCTTCTTTCAAATGTTTAATACTTGAAAAAGTATTCATTTGAGATTGTGGGTTACCTACAGTGCGAAGAGATGGCGCTGCCTTGCAGCTTAAGGCTAGGAAAATTTCGACGCGGCCATCAGGGCTGTAGTAGCATAATTGGTCAGTGCATTCGCCCGGATTGCGAAGGGTGCGGGTTCGAGTCCCGTCCGCTGCCTGGTCCGCGTGGATTTTTTTGTAGTAAAACTTAACATAAGTGTATTTTGTTTTTATTATTGTCCATAGTTTGAACGCGATGTCGCAATATGGAACAGCAAGATATTCGTAGGGGCTCCGGCTTACGTACGGACGGACAAAACTATACGTGCTTTCCGCTCCTGGTTCTCTCAGTTCTACAGTGAGAACAGTAAGACTTTCAGAGATGCAACACAGCACCCTTTGGATTGGTGATAAGATTTAGTCAAAATAAAGTTTACTGAAAACTACAGCCAAATAGGGTATTTGACAGTATGAAAAATAAAGTGCCAATTGTTAGCATCTGTGTTTAGAATGAATATTGGCAGGGGTTTTTACTATTTTTACAAAAAAAAAATATCAGTATTTTACTAAAAACCCACGAAAAAGATAATAGTTTTCATATCTATTCTCACGTGACCCAAAACGCTTGGGATTGGCGGAGCCTAAAATGACGTCACACGCACGTAAACTTCGGGTTAAAGTGGCATTACATTGTATCGTTTGACGCTTTAATAACAGTCGTGTGACGTCACACACTAGTAAGACGCCATATTGTCCAGAAAAACGTTTTCGCGGCAACTTGAAAATTGAGTTTTTCGAGTTGGTTATTTTGACTGAAACACACAACAGAATGATGAATATCCACTATTTACGGACTCTATAAACATTAGTCAATCACGTGAAATCGTTTTCTAAAACTTGTCAAATACCCACAGACATGTAATACTATACTACTAGTTATATGTCTGTGCAAATACCCTATTCTCTATGTATCTTAGAGAATATTGTAACCAAATTTTCTATAATACTAGCTGACCCAGCGAACTTCGTACCGCCCTAAAAAAATAGGGGTTGTCCAGCGGACAAAATTGTGAATCTAAACCATTCTCAGATCCCCTTGAACACACACAAAAAATTTCATCAAAATCGGTCCAGTCGTTTAAGAGAAGTTCAGTGACATACACACTCACAGAAGAATTATATATATAAAGATACGGAAAATTACAGCTGAAGTCTATAATTTTAGGGAAATTGAAACCAAATTATTTATATTGTATGGAGTTAGCTGACACCCTGGATTAATACATAGGCTAAGTGTAAACTTATTTTTTTACGAGCTTTCCACTCCTGGTTCTCTCAGTTCTACAGTGAGAACGGTAAGACTTTCAGAGATGCTACACAGATCCCTTTGGATTGGTGATAAGATAGGTTTAGGACCTTTAGTAAAAAGAATGTTTACTGAAAATTACAGCCAAATTCTCTATGTATCTTAGAGAAATATTGTAACCAAATTTTCTATACTATACGGAAAACTGGAGCTGAAGTTTCTACATTTTAGGGAAATTGAAACCAAATTATTTATACATTAGGAATTTTTATGTAAAATAAATGATACGATGACTAAATCAAGCCGTTTTTTATTTAATTAACTTAAATTGTTAAAATCTCAGTATCTTCGCCGTGCCTCTCCTGGTGTGCACTGCGCCTAAGGTATCATCACCGGTCACCTATTAATGTCCCCACTGCTGGGGCACAGGCCTTCCCTATGGATGGAATAAGGAGACTGGGCGAAGACCCACCACGCAGGCCTAATGAGAATTGGTGGGCGCTCACGACTGCAGATGCAGCCGGGACCAACTTAACGTGCCATCCGAAACGCGGCAGAGCACGAGATATTAGGATTTTAGCCGCCAATCAAATGACCGACCATTGCGAAAGTTGCTTAACCTTCACGATCAAAAGCGAATGCGCTAACAATCTGCGCCATTGACCTCCTTCTAAAATTCAAAAATTTCAATAAAAAAAAATTCAATATCGTTTATTCAGTCTAGGCTGTTACAAGCGCTTGTAAATGTCGAAAAGCTACGCCATCGGTTCGCAAATCTACGGCGGGAGACCTTGTACTGAGAAGAACCGGCAAGAAACTCAGCAAGGGCTGATTTTTCCTCCCTGTTTTATTTCATATAGTGTCGTCCAATTGAAAGTTGACATCAAACTTGCAAACATGTGTTGAGGTCAACTTCCATCACATAATGTCCTGAATCATGACGTCAATAAAATATGTGGTCAGTCTATTGTGGTGGCCTCCCGTAGCTAAGAGATTCTTGGCACCCCCCGCCCCGCCGTTACTGTGACCAGGAATAGCGGGGCTGCCGGGAACTGGGGGGTCGTGGCTTGTGTTTTGTATGTGTCACGCTCAAAGTTCGAAAACGCTCAGTGAGCGGAAAAATAGCTCACAACGCGTTGTGGTCACAGTAAAACATCCAAATGGCTTTTCTTCATTGTCACAACGCGTTGAGATCGAACAGCATGTCAGCCACGACACGAGTTTCGCTATTTGGTCTTTCTGTGATTGCCACAACGCGTCGTGTGCGTTTTCATTAGAGCCATAAAACGAATTTCGCTATGTGGATGTTTTACTGTGACCACAACGCGTTGTGGGCTATTTTTCCGCTCACTCAGCGTTTTCGATCTTTGAGCGTAACATATGCATTTAGAAGTATTGCCCGTAATCGCCACGCTGGGCAGGTGGGTTGGCGATCGCAGTACCTAGGCTAATTTAATGATGACGCTGTTGTCCGTCACCAGTGAGATTTCCCTCCCCTACGTTCTTTGGATGGTTTTACCGCCATCGCTCGGTTTGCCAGAGCCTCATCTGTTGGTCAATAGGGTGCACCACGTGAAGGTGAGGTTGGTTTGGGTTCTTGCAGGTGTATTTAGAATCCCTTACACCCCAGGCCTTCAATAGTGCATGAATTCATTTAGCTACGTAAATATGCCCATGTGTATGTGTACATCTTTCGACCACCAGGATATTTTTTTTACGTGCCATAACACAAAAGGCAAATTTTTCATATATGTTTCGAATTATAATAACTACATTTTTGGCAGAGCTGGGTGTTTCTTTGCCCATTGTCCTTTGATTAAAATCGGTTAAGGAGTTTAGGAGTCTATCCTGAATAAACAACGTGACGCGTAATCTATATATGTATATAAAACTAGTTTTTACGGGTTAATGCACGAAACTTTATTTATTTATTGACGTTTCGTAGCCTTTACAGGCTTCGTCGTCAGAATGTCGTCAGGCCTTTTTGGACCCCCAAGGGGATAAAATAGGGAATGAAAGTTTGTATGAAACTTTGTCAATTTTAAACCGATCGGGATGAGACTTTGCATGTAGGTATAAGAAGAATCACAGATGAATTGATGAATCATTGTGTATAATACAAGCCTGAGAACAAAAACTGTAGTCTACACTTTAGCTCTACACCGAAGCGAAGCGAGGGCGGGCCGCTAGTTTATATATATTAAGATATATAGTGTCGCGTATGACGCACGTGACGCTCGTACCGTTTCAGCCTTCGTCGAGTTACCCTCCAACTTACATGCTCGTCGGGAAGAGCTGCGCACGCATCCCACACACACACACACTCGCATTGCTCGCGACGCATTTCCGTTTAGTGTTTTCCATAGAAATTTTCCATTTGCACCCCGTACGAAAATCAATTTCACTTAAAAAAAATGGGTGCGTGTCCTTATGTAGGCGCGTGAGAAGTTATCCTTCTTTGGCATCGTTTAAAATTAGTTTTTAATTGCATGCAAATAATTAATAACAATAAATTAATAAAAAGTCTGGAAAAGGACACAGAAAGTTCAGTTTTAATTTGAAAAAATAAATAAATAATCAAAATATTCAATTAAAATCGAACTGAATATAATTTATTAGAACATATGTGATTTGCACTTGTATGAAACTCAAACACGTATTCCGAATATACAAACTAGAAACATGTGGATAAATATTATAAATATGAATACCTATTAATTAATAATAACTGTTACTTTATTACAAAAAATAAAGATGTGGTTTTTGGTTCTACTACACCAATGGTCAAAAGATGGCGCTGTAGTCTCCTGAATCGCGCTTTGGTTCCGTTGTTCCAGATTAATAAATACTTTTGATATTATAAATATGAATACCTATAACTGTTACTTTATTACAAAAAATAAAGATGTGGTTTTTGGTTCTACTACACCAATGGTCAAGAGATGGCGCTGTAGTCTCCTGAATTGCGCTTTGGTTCCGTTGTTCCAGATTAATAAATACTTTTGATAGGCCTTCACAATGCGACTGCATTAAATAGAGATTCTATTTCTATTTTGTTGGTAGATTTTCTTAATGTGCGGTAAACGCTAAAGTAATAGCATGAAGTTGGTCGCTAAAGCGACCATCTTCATGCTGTTAAAATTTTGTGTTACAGATATGCGCGCGCATCTTAAAATTTCACTCTCATCATTTTTTCATAACGCGCCTAAAGAAGTATAACTTCAAAAAAACACATTTTATGATTATAATTTCCTCATGCCCCTGTATTCCGTGTAATCGATGTACCCATCGTTATTTTCATCGCCGTTAGCCAAAGTCCGATGGACGATCGCCTCGAGATGGTCGTCCGAATAAATCGTCTTTTGTACGCCGAAATCAGCGCCGGCGGTGTTGTCGTTATCTATAAAGAAAGAAAAACTAATATGAACTGTTAAAATACCCAGTACTTTTGTTACTTTTCGCCTTAGATTAAAACTAAAAGGGTAGATACGACACTAGCCTCACAAAAGTGATCCGCACCAATTGTGGTCCACGACCCTAATCGCTTTAGTCACAACTTGACATGCAAACGACGTACATGTGAACGCCAAAAAGAAATATATCTAATATTTTGTGTTTATATGATAAAACAATGCCTAAGTGTATTTTTAAAAAGTGCTCAAATTGCTCAAGAACTGAAAATAAAACCCACGGCATCACTTTTCATTCGTAAGTGCTAAAAATATATTTTTTCATAAAAATTGCTGTTTGTTTTGAATCTTATTCAGTAGTGACGTCGAGTACTGGTCGCATGATTGGTCGGTAGTGCAGTGACGCGGATCTCGCCGTCTCGTTCGCGCTGCCGTTGAAACTTAACATGCTGTTTCGTCCGGGTCGGTAATGTAGTGACGCGGATCTCGCCGTCCCGTTCGCGCTGCCGTGGGCTCAGTTTTTGTTTGATGCAAGTAGGAGCGTACCGTATCTACGTTTTTGTTTTAATTTAAGCTTTTCGCGAGCTTTTCATCGTTTCATACACAGAACACAGAAAAAGGTTTAAAGGGTTATCAATTTATCAGACCCCACTACACTTCCATCTAATAGATAATAGCGAATCAAAAAACGCGACATCAAACAATCGCACCAATCAACGATTACACCTTAAAGACGACGCAATCACAACAAAGTTTTGGTCAAGTTATGAGCATTTACTTACCCTTCTCCTACTAACGGGAATATTTTCTGCCTCTATCTACCTAGATGTTAATTTTAACACGAAAAGTGAGTGGCTACATGAATGGTGATAAAATTGGAGCTAATATTCCAAACAAGATGGAAGTTGATGGTGCTGTACTGTATTTGATATAAAGAACATTTTACTAGAAAATATTCCCGCCCGGATAGTGAAGGGTTCGGGTTCGAGTACCGTCTGCTGCCTGGTCCACGTGGAATTTTTTCTAGTAAAATTTTCTTTATATCAAATACTGTGCAGCAGAAGCCACAGAAACACATTCGTTGTTGGCCTATATCTTGATATCTTGATTTGATTTACAAATTCTTGAAGGGGGGGGGGGGGGGGGTGCTTGAAAAAAGTACGCCTCTGCATCTACTGCAGACAGACTCCTGTACCCTTAGCACCAATATCGAATTCATAACGTAAGCTAGTACGAAACGTCAGTGTCAAATGTGTACTTATTTTTAGTTTCCGTTACGTACTTTGTGGCGCTGCTGTTCAAGTTTCCATACAAAATTTGCCAATGACATTTGAGACTCGCAAACTATTCGAATTCGATAATGGTTCGTGCTAAGGGTACTGAATCCTGATTTCCTGTCCTAAGAGGAATGATCCAATGACATCGTGATAATGCATGTATTTGGTTTACAACTTCCTTCCTTCGCTATGTTTGTATATGTTTGTTACTTATGTTACAAGCAAAAACGGCTCAACGCTTTTTAATGAAATTTAGTACACATATAGTTTACTAGCTGCACCCCGCGGTGTTACCCGCGATTTATTAGGGATATTTTCCCGCACTAAAACGTACCCTATGTGCTAATTGAGGGTTCAGCTAACTCCATACCAAATTTTATTTAAATTGCTCCAACCGCTTAGAGGTGAAAAAGTAACAAACATACACTCTCACAAACTTTCGTGTTTATAATGTGGCGGCGACATCTATATGCCCCACATATAGACAACGGATGGAGGAAATCATTACTCACCATCCTCAAGAGATGGCGTTACCTACACTGCGATCAATAATAGTATGGAAGCCTACATCGCGCAAATGAAATTCGGAAGCTAACT